GGGAGGCGGGAGCAGACGTGGAGCCAAGGGGGGAGGCGGGAGCAGACGTGGAGCCAAGGGGGGAGGCGGGAGTAGACGTGGAGCCAAGGGGGGAGGCGATGAGGAGCCGTCGGAGGTTGATGGAGCCAGAGCCTTGGCGACGGCGAACACAGGCAACAGAGGGGACAAAGAGGCGACGGCAGCCGACCCAGGCGACAATGGAGGCAATGGGCGACGAGCCAGGTGATGGGCGACGTGGAAGCAACGGCAGCTGACCCAGATGTCGTGGAGGCGCCGGCAGCCGACTCACGAACCTCAGAGACCGCCGACTCGGGGCTCGCCAACACCGGGGACATCGGGACCACCAACTGTGGAACCACAGACTGTGGAACCACCGGGACCTCCAATTGTGGAACCACCGGGACCTCCAATTGTGGAACCACCGACTGTGGAACCACCGGAACAGGAACCAAAAACACCGGCTCAGGAACCCCAACAACCGGCGCAGGAGGAGCAGAAGGGGCGGGTACCAGATGACTCTCCCAAAACCCTCTGCACAAATCGGTGGAGCAGCTGATGGCCTGGCAGGAGGAGCAGATCTGTGCGCTCCCCCCAGAACACGTTCTATCTGCCGGCAGATGGAGAGTCTGTTGGAGCGCATTGAGATCCCCCTGAGGATCTTCACCGACCCTACAATGATGGGGGATGTCACCTGTTCCTACCAGGGGGGCAAGGAAGGGACCAGATCCTCAAGGGCAGAAGGAGGAAGAGCAGCCGGCTGGTCCAGGTGACGCTGGTGGACTCCAGCAGTGAGAGTAAAAAGACTGGCGCGCCGAGAAAACAAAAATCTTGCTCCTCTTTAAAAAAAAACTGAAAACGGGGTGCCTGTGGGCTGGTTGTGTGGTTGGATCATTATGTCAGGACTGACAAAATAACCCAGGGCACAGGCAGGTTTCAAAAAGCACAAGGCTTTTAAGGAAAAACTCAAAGAGACTGATAATACAGCAAGAACTCACTAGACTTGGAAGTAGACGAAAAACATGAAGCAGGACACGACCAGGTAGACAGAACAATGATCCGACAATGAGACAGAGACAAGACTGAGCTTAAATACGCAGAAAACTAATGAGGGAACAGAAAAAACCTGGGGAGAAACACAAGGGTAATCAGCAGTGTGATGTGGGGCAGCTGAGCAGACACACAGGGGAACTTAGAAACACTAGGAAAAACCAAGGCATAAAATGACAAACCATGACCATTTTAGCTGTTTTACTGCACATTGGGGCTGTTTTTAGCTATTTTACAACAAATTGACACTTTTTTGTACTTTTATGTTTTTCTCCTGCTAATTGGACTTTTTTTTACACCTCTTTCACCATCTGGGTGCTAATTGCAACTTCTGTCTGCTCCCATATAACTTTTTTTGCTAATTTAACACTCTTTTGCTATTTTATCTATTAACATGCTCCCTTTTGCTATTCTTCTGCTAATTTCTGCTTTTGTGTGTTTCTTTCAGCTTTTCATATTAAACTGGCTTTAACAGATTTGCTATTAAACATTTTCAGGTCCATTTTATTAGCTTTCAGCTGACGTTTTCAGCAAGAAGCATTCACACTAGCATTTTTGCAAGAAATGCAAGTCCTCTAGTGATTATGTGTTATCTTATCAAATCATCTGATAGATGGAACTGATGTGTATGTGTGGTTTTGGCTCACTGTAGCTTTGCAAAGCTGGAAGATCTTCCCTGTGAACAGTGGAGCCACGCAACTGTCAGGAATGCTCTCAAAGAGCTGCTGAAGGAAATGAATCAAAGCACTCTGGCCAAAGAGTGTCCATTGTCCCAGGTGAGAACAGATCAGCAGACAACACCTATAYTCAGTCATTTTATCAAAACAGGAAGATCCTGTTTAAGGACTTTTATGTTTTATGTGGTACATTTTACAACTGCTTTTACAGAAATTGCCTAAATTGCATGTGTTCATTACATGGGTGATGTTGGTATGTTAAAATTTGAGCTATCAGACAATAAAGTTTCAGCTCAAAGAGGAGTTGGAAAGGTAAATGATGACACACTGACAGATAATTCAGATTTGATGTTGGTACCATAAATTAAAGTGATTTTATTAAAAAAATTCAATGCCAATAACCCCAGTATTTACAACCTGCAGACAAGTTATGTTAATATATGATAAAGTGCACTTAGAATTTTCACTTGGTTTAGCAAATCCCTAGCCTGGCCCTTGCCTTCCTAAACAGTTCAGCTCAATTCTAGTTTTGCTTCATTGCTCCGTCAAAGAATCACTTCTCTATAGCTGAGAGTCCAGACCCTCATACGAAGCAAAGTGAAGGACAAGGGTCGGGTTTTTACCAGGCTAGCAAATCAAAATACAAATCTAAAAGTGATAGAACCCCCACCCCACCCCCCCAAACACACACACACAAAAGAAAAGAGAAATTAAAAACTTTCGTAGAAGTACTCGATTGAGAGATGGTTCACATCATACACACAAGTAACATTTTGATTAGGCCTATCTATAACTATCAGGTTTGTGAATAAACACTAGGAGGGAGCTGATAAGCCCATGTTTATTAACAACATTGTGAAACTCAAATAAAAATTAACTAACTGAAATGTCTATGACGTATTTTAGATAAACACAGAGTTTAATATTTTCATTTCTGAACAGTGCATAGTTCATTAATCACAGACAGTAATTAACATAGATGCTAATTTAACATTAAAATCACCTTTGCTAATGCAATCCAAAGCTAATGCAATTAGCATCAGATTAATATTGGGAATATATACACAAATAAAATGTTTCAAAGTCATAACTAAATACAGTGATGTTATGAAAAATTCAGCTATTACTGACAGACATTATTATTCAAGTTTCAACAAAGTAGAAATATAAAAAGTAAAATTAAACAGATGTTAAAACACTTTGCAATATGTTTCAACTACTGCAGGTAGAGCAGATCTACTGGGACAAGCCAAAGTAGCAACATTTCACCTTACCTCAAGTGATTTTTGACATTGAAAAAAACTGATCTATGTCCTTGAAATGATGCATCAAAAAAAGTTTAGAAAACCCACCTTGAATGTGTGTATGTGTGTGTAGATACTATGTCACATAGGTTAAAGCATGTCGCATTGTGTAAATTGTTATTAATTTTTGTATTTTCTTTTCCCTCAGAGCATGATTTCCTCCATAGTGAATAGTTCTTACTATGCCAATGTGTCCACTGCAAAATGTCAAGAATTTGGTCGCTGGTATAAGAAATACAAAAAAATCAAAGGTAAGACCAGTAACACAACTGCCAAATGTTTTTATAATGGATCAGTGACCAAGCAAGCTTTAATAATACAACTGCTTTACTTCTTTACATCATTTTTATGCTGTTTTAATGTGTCTCCAGTACTACATACCGAAGTAAATCAGTTCAGATTATCTAATGATGGAAAGTTTAATTCAGTTTGAACTCAGATATTAACAAAGCTAAATTGTTGGTTGAGCAACAGTGCAGGAAATGTTCAGGCATCCATACAACCAATCAAAAGCCAAAAAAGTATAACCATTTCATTTATTAAATAGACTTTAAGACTGCTGATACAAGATGAAACTTTTGGTTAAGTTTTTGTTTAAAAAAACATATTACCTGACCATGACACTTCTTGTGCCATTCCTATTAATGATCAATATTTTCAGTGGTGACACCCATTTTAAAGAGAAGTGCATGGAATGTCACATGTCTGATTGATCAGTATAAACAGTAACTTGGCTTTGTTGACATGGCAATGTCACATAAGAAGCATCACATAATCATTTTTGAATTGATGTTCTATCAAGAATTTGTACCTTATCAGCCATGTCATCAGTCATAAAGCACACAAAAGAAATAGCAGACTTCCTCCAGGCTAGGTTAATGGCTAGCAGAAGGAGGGCCAATTAAACAATTTTTACAGGCTTACAAAACAACATTTTCTTAAAAATGACAAACCAGTGTAAAAAATGTTGTATTGACTCATAAAAACCTCAAAACGTTTTCACAACACTGCTTTTTAGTTTGTTGGCCTTTTTTTTTTTCAACTGAAGAATGTCCTGGCCACAGCTCCTGCTTTAGGGGATTTGATCATGGCCCGTTTAAAATCCATGTCACCTAACCTCCCTTGGAACACATGAAAAACCTTTCCGGCCGTGTGAAGTAAAGATGTCATAAACAGGGGCCTCTGACAGACTGTTTAGATTTACCAAATCTGTCCAACAGTTTTTCCTGTCACTGGGTTTAACTTACCACCAAATGTCCAGCACATAGGCTGATGTGTTGATGACTTGATTACAAAATCAATCACAGACCCTTGGCTCAACCTGACCTTGTACGAAGTATTCTTGTCAATTATGCTTTGTTCAAATTTGGTATTCCTTATGGACAACCCATACTTAGCACAAAAGTCAAACAACATATCACTGCTTTGGTTCAGGTCAGGGTGGCTGTTCTTTCCAATCATGGCCATCCACTTGACTCTGTCATTGTCCACATGGATATAGAAATCACCCAGGCAAACAATAGAATCCCCACATGGCTATTCTTTTTGGACAACATCCAGGGAAATAAGCACAAAAAAACAGTCAGAACATTTCTTTTGGCATCTCTGAGCCACAGAGAGGAAATTTGTCCACTAAGGATACAGACCCCTCCCAAAGTATTGGAACAACAAGCCAAATTCCCTTGTTTTTTTGTACACTGAAGACATTTGGGTTTAAGATCAAAAGATGAGCATAGGGGAGTTTTTAATGAATCCCTTAAACTTGACTAACTTCTTCCAACTTTCTATCAGGCAATAATATTTCTGATACACCAAAAAGGATAAAGACCCAAGAAACCCTTCAGCATATAGACCAATAAGCCCATTAAATGTGGATATTAAAATCTTAGCCAATGTACTGGCCTACAGGTTAGAGACTGTATTATCAACAATAATGCACAAAGACAAAAAAGGTTTTATTAAAAATAGACATCTATTTAATAATTTACATCATCTATTCAATATTATGTACACACGCCGGAACCCAATCTGAGGTACTTATAACCATAGATGCAGGAAGGCTTTTGTAAAAGTGTAAAAGTTTGACAAAGTTTGACAAAAGTTTGAATTTTGTCAGGTTCAAAACACCTTAAAACCCAGAGAAACTGAGAAGACACAAAATAGATACAGTACCAAGGTTAGATTTTACTTGCACAAGTGGAGACAGCTTTCTGTAACAACAGTAGCCCACTTCTCCAAAGGTTTGAAAACCTCCTTGCAGCTTTTATTGACACAAAACAAAAGTGAGTGGTTAGAAGTTTCACATCTTTCTGTGGCATGAGCAATCATGTGATTTATCAGTTGTTGCAGCCCAAGGACGTTTACTCAAAGTAACTTTTTTGTTAACACAACTTGAAAACATTCTGAAAAGCAAGAATTGTTTTTCTCTGTCAGAACAAACATATACAAAAATACTTAAAAATAAGATCAAGATAAAAGTAATATCATGAAAAATGTAATAATAAGAAAAGCATTAAACAATGATAACATACATTTTTCCATCAGATTTGGCAATACTTTTATCTCATGGATTAAACTATTGTACATTTCACCTATGGCTTCTGTACAAACAAATAATTTCAGATCAAAATATTTTTCCCATTACCAGATCTACTAGGCAAGTATGTTCATTGACACCTATGCTATTTGCATTGGCAATTGGGCCATTAATATCTCACTATGAAACCTATTGAAATACATGGTTAGGGCTGGTTATGAACAAAAAGTATCACTCTATGCTGATGATCTGCTATTATACGTTTCTAGTCCACAGACATCTATTTTGACAATAATGCAAACTCTTGATAACATTGGTTCAATCTCAAGATACAAATTATACACATAAAAGAGCATAAAATTTCAGATTAATTCSACATTAGACAAGGAATATCTTCTCAGTTGACATCACCAACGATCTCTACAGCTCAGGGGTGAAGTTATCACAATCCAGTGTTCAAAGAAGACTCAGGGAGAAGAAATAAAGAGTCCATACCCAAAGATGCAAACCATTCATCAGTAATAAGAATCCGAAGGACTGATTGAAATTTATAAAGTACAGAGATGAGCTGCAAAAGTTCTGGAAGACAATCTWATGAACTGATGAGATGAAGACTAATCTCTACCAAAGTGATGGAAAGGCCAAAGTGTGGAGAAAGAAAGAAACTGCTTTTGAACTGAAGCACACAAGCTTATCTGTGAAGCATGGTGCAGATAATGTCATGGCTTGAGCTTTGGCTGCTTCTGGAATAGACTCATTAATACTTATTGATGATGTAACTGATGATGGTAGCAGCAAAATGAATTCCTAASTATACAGAAACATTTTGTCTGTCAATTACAGAGAAATGTATCCAAATTAATCAGGAGGAATTTTATCATGCAGCAGGAAAATGACCCAAGGACTAAGGACTTCATTAGGGGAAACAAGTGGAAGGTTTTAGATTAGCCAAGTCAATCACCTGACCAGAACCCAAAAGAGCATTTCAAGAGGAGACTGAAGGTAGATGGGTCGCAGGTTTGAGGCAGTCTTTGCACACAAGGGTTAGGCCACCAAATATTAAATGTTATTTMCTTTAAGACAATTTGTTCCAATACTTTTGCTGACCTAAAAATACTATGGTGTATTACAAATGGTGATAAAACCTAAATTGTTTAACACATCTACATGGAAATACCAAGAAATAAAACTGACATTCAGAACTCTTGTCTCATGCTCATCTTTTGATCCTAAACCCAAATGTCTTCAGGTCACAACAAAAACAAGAGAATTTGACTTGCCGTTCCAGTACTTTTGGAGGGGACTGTAACTTCACTTCTGAGTTGCTTAGACAGGGACTTGTGTCTCCACTCATTGTGTGGAAAATGTTTCACCGATGTTGATCAGATCAAGTATTTAATAGCATTGTCTTGCAGTGATTTTATAATGATTTTGTCTTGAACATGAAACCATGATAAATTTTTACTGTCACTAATTCTCTGTTTGGTTTGTTGAGCAGGGGATTACCTGGAGAAGATGTGGCCTGGACGAGATAACACAGACATTAAAAGTAAGGGTAGTAGTCAGTATTTACAATGTTATTTTTTAGTAAAAGTACTAATTTTAACATTTTTCTTTTGGTCCCAGTTGAGAGGGACAGCATTGCAGACTTCTGCATGATGGGACAGAGACCTCCTCCTCACCTGGGTGGTCTAGCTCAGCTAAGCCACCTTAGTTCCAGTGGCCCTGTCCTCAAAGCTGGATCTACTGATCCACAGTTGCCCTCGCAACCACCTCAGCAGCCTCCTCCTCCCCAGCAACAGCCCTCACCTCATGGCCCCCTTCACCACAGCCCTCCACTTCGTACGGGGCAGATGCCTCCCCAACCACCTCCACCAGGTGCTCTTCAACCCCTGCTAGGGCCAGGTGGAATCCTTTCCCCACAACTCTCCCCACAGTTGGTTCGGCAACAGCTTGCTATGGCCCACCTCATTAATCAGCAGCTGGCAGTGAGTCGCCTGCTAGCCCACCAACACCCCCAAACCCTCAACCAGCAGTTTCTCAACCACCCACCTATTCCTCGGGGGTCATCCAAAGGTGGGGTTGACCATCCTGGGAGCAACCCGTCGGCTGCTGAGGTCTCATCTGAAATCTATCAACAGGTCAGAGATGAGCTGAAGAGAGCCAGCGTCTCACAGGCCGTGTTCGCCCGTGTGGCTTTCAATCGCACCCAGGTAGGGGATCAACATAATGGTTTCTGGAATCAAACTGAGAATCAAACAACTAAAATTAAAAAGGTTGCATTCTGTATCACCAAACCTSTGAATACCCTTTAAGCTGCCTTAAATGAACTGATCGTAATTTGAAASGCATCAGGTGAGAGGAGATAATTACACCATTTGAAAGAAATAAGACACTGACATCACTGATAATCTTTTTTGATCCCACTGTTCAACCTTGTGTTCACACATCTCATGATGGAGACTTCTGTGTTCACTGGGATTAGAAGAAGCATGATAGGGTTACGTGCTGGGTCATTGAGTCTCCTCCCCCATCGTCACAGTGGCACAAACACCTGATGCTGTGCTAAACTGGTTACTGCACGCCCGATTAGATCCATGTAATGGAGGTGGGCTCATAGACCTACTGGTCCAGAAGCCAGGTGTGTTTTAGTCATCCTCGTGTGTCTTTGTAAGGATGCATGTTTTTGAAAGCATTCAATCATTGGTAACTACTTTAAATAAAACTTAATACTTCATTAATTTTTTTTTCATGACTTTAAGATGTCAGGTTTGTCAAACATATACACACATGATAAAAAAATATGCAAACATCCTACTAATATTTAGTTAAATGTCCATTAGCAAGTTTCACCTTGAACATAGGTATCTATCAGCCAGCTTCTGGCATACTGTTGGCTGATAATTGAACACTCTTCTTGGCAGAAGTGGGAGAATTAATTTAAATTACCAGTAGTTGGTGTCCTTACATTCAACAGGCAATTAAGCATGATCACAAACCAGTTATGATATGTATTTAGAGTTTGTCATTTAGAAGTAACATGGGRCACCCTACCCTTTTTTATTTTACAGTCCTGTGAAGGCAACTAATCAAACTCAACCATAAAATAAACATTTTAAGTTGGTTTTATACTGTTTTGTGCAGACTACAGAATTTACTTAATACTAATTAAAGCAACAAAACATTAGTGTTTTCATGTACCATCTTTATTAATCAAACTTGTCCATTATTAGCTTGTGATTGACTGGTTTAGGCATGTCTGGATCATAATCGGATGGTCATCGATTTTATGCAGAGGAGACATTTGATGCATTCTGACAGACGAGATAAAAATTAACTAATTCTGTTCTCCAAGATTTAAAAAAGGGATGATGACCTAAACAGTTCAGTTACATTAATTAAACATAATGATAGAAAGTGTAAAGAAGCAAAGCTAAATATTTGATAGACTAGTTTATGTTATGGAAACAATGTGACGTGATGTTAACAATTGATATGTGTGTGTGTGTGTTTGTATTGCTCAGGGCTTGCTCTCAGAAATTCTGAGAAAGGAGGAAGACCCTCGTACAGCCTCACAGTCTCTGCTGGTCAATCTGAAAGCCATGCAGAGTTTCCTCAACCTACCTGAGAGTGAGAGAGACCGTATCTACCAGGAGGAGAGGGAGCGCACTATGAACCCATCTGTGGGCCTGCCTCCCTCCAACTCCTCCAACCCTGGCACACCACGACTCTCACAGGTTTAGCAAGCTTTCAATGTTTTACCACAACAATATGTGTCTTTTCAAATGTTATAACTATAACTCAATATGCAAGAAAACATTGGAATTTGAATAAAACCATTAGTAATTGCAGGGATTTTGTTGTATCTCTGTATGTGCATAGAAAGTGTGGGAGAGGAGCCTAGATGACCAGATAACCCCTGACACCTGGGCCTCCATTTGGAAAAACAAGACCAAGATTACTAATGCTGTGAGTTATCTGTCATCTTTTAATTATTTGTAAAAAAAAAAAAGGGAGAAGTTTCCAAAAGGAGCAGTAAGAAGTACAAACGATCAGTTTTGACCAAGATGGAAGGCAAAGCTAACAGGAAATCACTGCATCCRGTGCCTCACAGCTAAAAGAACAACTACGTAAACCTGAAAAAAAGAAGCTGTCTTTCATCAACTCTCAGATTTATTGTACAAATTTTCATACACAAGTGTATTTGTCATACTTTTAAAGTTTTAAATTTCTGAGCACAACCAAGGAGTTAAAAGAAATTTTGTGAGTTTCCTTCAAATGCACATAAAAGTTCAGTAATGTCAATGATAAGATTCCTCTTTTGATGGTTATTCACAACTGCCGCTGAATCTTATTTGCTGGTCTTATTATGACTATGTAAAGTTATCTCAGTCACACTGAGGGAATGTAAGCAAGCTGGTCTGGACTTGCCAGCTACACAACATCAGGATAAACAGCTAATACATGCTCACTCAAACAGAAACAACAAATAAAAGACAAAAAGTGGAGAACTTCAGAACATAGGTTTGTTAACAAAAGTTGTGTGGAGACGTGTGCTGCCAATGTGCAGGAAACAGCAAAACTGTTCTTAGAGCAATTCAGCCCAATTATCAGCTGATAGCCTTTCGTCACGCACCGTGGATAAATCTCACAGAGCAAATGATCTTTAATGAGTGATCTYTATTGCCATTTATACTCATCCTTAATCCCATTATGAAGTTATACTTATTTTTATGGTGATATATTGATCTTCTCAATCAGCCAAAGCCATCTGGCCCAAACCCAGATGTCCCACTGAAGTTGGAGTCACTGGTCAACATTACGTCTGGCATCTATGATGAGATACAGCAGGAGATGAAGAGGGCCAAGGTGTCTCAGGCTTTGTTTGCAAAGGTGGCCGCCAACAAGAGCCAGGTGAGTGAATCGCATAGCAAAGAGCTGCTTTTCAAATGTTCTGTACCCAAATCCAGGAGTTACTTTTMCCTCTTGGCCCTGAGTATAAAATGAATAATGTATTTTGAAGCAGGCACTAAAAAGGTCRCATTCTTTTATTGCTGTATGACAGGACACAAGGTGATAAAAATTAAATTAAAAAAATCAGTCTGACTGCTAGACTGTCTCTTCTGGAAAAAAATTATTATAAATATAAAATAAAATAAATGTTTATTTATTTACCCTTGTGTTTATCTGATCTAAACTGAAGGATGAATCTGTTTTTAAGTGAAAAATACATAGACCACAAATGATACAAAAAAGAAAAAATATTAATATATCTTGTATATCCATCCATCCATCCATCCATCCATCCATCCATCCATCCATCCATCCATCCATCCATCCATCCATCCATCCATCCATTTCTGTTTTATCCAAAGTCGGGTCGTGAGGGCAACAGCTTGAACAGGGAAGYCCAGACCTCTCTTTCTCCAGCCACCTCTTCCAGCTCTTCTGGGAGGACTCCAAATTGTTCCCAAGCCAGCTGAAAGATATGGTCTCTCCAGCATGTCTTGTGTCTTCCTCGGGGTCTCCTTCCAGTTAGACATGCCTRAAGAACCTCMCTATGGAGGTATCCAGGAGGCATCTCTATCAGATGCTCGCACCACCTCAACTGGCTCCTCTTGATGGAGCAACAACTCTACTTTGAGTCTCTCCCGGATAACTGAACGTCTYACCCTATCTCTCGAGAGTCCAGCTACCCTGCAGAGAAAACTTATTTCAACCRCTTGTTTTCACCATWGCATTCTTTCAYTCACTACTCAAAGTTTATGGCCATARATGAGGRTAGGAACGTAGACTGATCAGTAAACAGAGAGCTTTGCCTTACAGCTCAGCTCCCTCTTCACCACAACAGACCGGTACAGAGTCTGCAAAACTGTGGAAGCTGCACTGATCCGTCTATCAATCTCACGCTTCTTTCTTCCTCACTCATGAACAAAACCCCAAGATACATGAACTCCTCCACTTGAGGCAGAATTTCATCCTCARCCTGGAGAGAGCAATCCACCCTTTTCCGATTGAGGACCATGGAGGGCGAGAGGTGCTCATCCCAGCTGCTTCACACTCAGCTGCAAACCGCTCCAGCGAGAGCTAAAGATCACGGCGCAATGATGCCAACCACATCATCTGCAAACAGCAGAGATGAAATCCAGAGGCCACTGAACCAGACTCCCCCCWCTCYCTGGCTGCACAGAGAAATTCTGTCAATGTAAGTTATGAACAGAATCAGCGACAACCAAATGCCTTGTTTTTGTTTGTCCATTGAGTCATTCTTTGTCTGGCCTTTCACCTGGCCTAGGACCAATCTGCCATGGGAGACCCTACCTGGGGCAATAGAAATTGACCCTGCCAGCCTCCTTTCATCATTCAGGTGCACAAACACCTCCACCATGTGTATGTCCGTCTGTCCGTCGGTTTTCTGCCGCTTATCYGGGGCCAGGTCGTGGGGGCAGCAGCCTAAGCAGAGAGACCCAAACTTCCCTCTCCCCAGCCACTTGGGCCAGCTCATCTGGGGGAATCCCAAGCTGTTCCCAGGCCAGTTGAGAAACACAGTCCCTCCAGCATGTCCTGGGTCTTYCTCTGGGCCTCCTCCCAGTGGGACATGCCCGGAACACCTCACCAGGGAGGCATCCAGGAGGCTTCTTAAACAGATGCCCGAGCCACCTCAACTGGCTCCTCTTGACATGGAGGAGCAGCGGCTCTACTCTGAGTCCCTCCTGGATGACTGAGCTTCTCACCCTATCTCTAAGGGAGAGCCCAGACACCCTGCGAAGGAAACTCATTTCGGCCGMTTGTATCCRTGATCTCGTTCTTTCRGTCTCTACCCAAAGTTTGTGACCATAGATGAGGKTAGGAAGCATATTGTAGACMGACTGTTAAACCAAGARCTTCGACTTCTGGCTCAGCTCTCGCTTCACCATGACAGACTGGTACAGCGCCCSCATCACTGCAGATGCAGCACCAATCYGCCTCTCGATCTCCCGCTCCATTCTTCCCTCATTCATGAACAAGACCCAGAAATACTTAAACTCCTCCACTTGGGGCAGGACCTCCTCCCCGACCCGGAGGCGGCATGCTACCATTTTCCGGCTCAAGACCATGGTCTTGGATTTGGAGCAGATATAAGCCCAAGAAGGGCAACAGGGTATTTTGGCCAAAGTCGGGCCACAGATCAAGCACTATCGGCGGGGACAACTTCGGAGTAGCCGCGCGGACCTCTTTTCCAACAGTACTTTGATCCAATAGGAGCCACGCAGGCACTCATGCTCTGAAATGATTTAAACTCATATGTTGTTCTCTGTGGTATATTGAACATTTCCTGAAAGTGTAATAAACATTTCCTGAACGTTTCATAGAAATCTGTTTGGTACTTTTTGAGATATAAGCCCAAGAAGGCAACAGGGGTATTTTGGCCAAAGCTGGCCGCAGATCAAGCACTATAGGTGTGGACAGGTTGAGAGCTTGCCGTGCGGAGCTCCAGCAATTCCTGGATATTAAATTTAAAAAATAAAGTTTAAATTATAGAATCAAAGTTTTTGAATTTATAGAGTTGTTGAATTTTGTTTTTGTACAAAAAATGAAAATATTTCATAGCACTTTTGGAACAGGCGCAATGTACTTAAAGAAGAGAAGCAAAACAAAGTATTGATCTCATTATTCTATCAATAGCAATCCAATTTGCTAACCCTGTTGGTATTGATAATATTAATTTTTGGATTGATATGTACACCTCACACCTCACAGGCCCAACTGAGTCAGCGAACCCTTCACACAGGTGAAACGTTTCATTTTAAGATGTCATCAGAAGTTATTTAAGTATAGTCAACGCAGTGTGTCACAGCACAGGAACATTCATACATTAAGTGTRTTGCCTTTGTGTATGTGTGAAAGAGAGTGTGGTTGTGTTTCATGAATGCTGTCCCCCAGGTTGTGGTGAGGGTTTGGAGGAGGGTGTTCTGGGGGTGGTGCAGGGTCATGGCTCAGTGCACCCATCTGCTGCAGCTGGCCATGAGGACGGAGAGCGAGGAGCAGAGATGATCAGGGCTATTAGCGACACACGTTGCCCGAGGAGGCTGGCTGAACACAACAGCTGGTGTCACAAACTGAAGCAGTCTAGCAGACATAATTTAATCTTCTTCATTTTCTATTTCTTTTTATCTTCCTCTTCATCAAGCATCCTGCACGGTCACAACTTTTCAGCTTGATTTAAAACTGCCCTTTATCTACCAGGTTTACACAGCTTAAACGTTTCTTTTTGAGCTCCTCGTTGCTCTTCTTCATTGTTCAGTATCAGGAGTGYRAAGCTGGAGTGGGTCCATCAGAAGGTTCAAGGTCACAAGAAAATAATAATTTCAAAGAATGCATACTGCCCTCTACCTTTGATACCAGAGGTTTAGACTGAGGTTGAGAAATGACGTAATTGAAGCTGTTTTGGTCAAACCTTTAGAATAATTTTATACTCAAAGTCATGAGATATGACAAGATGTCACACTTAAAGTATGAGTTGTGAACAGCTACTACTAGTACAGCCAATTTTTTTCCTAATCTGGCAAATTGATTAAGTAAAAGGAATTTTTGTGTAAGCCAAACATAATTTGTTTCAGTATCCATCTTCAGTRGATTTGGCTTAGTTGTAGAAAGGTCTGGTGCTAGTCATCTGGGTGCCCTAAGCGCAACTGCTTTGTTGTGCCCTCCGTCTCCCAGAAATAAAAAATAATAATAATTCAGTATTTGCCAGTGCACTTCTTTTTATTAAAAAAACATAAAAACTTGTCAATTTTGTTTTGAAAACAGATTTGCAAATATCAGAATATGAACACACAAGTGAACAGTAAGAGGGGAAATTAAAACTTTGATAAAATACTAGCTATTTTTGCATTAACAAAGGCACCAAACATTAAATACAATAAATAAATACCACCATCATTATTTAAAAAGATCTGTGTAATGACTCACAACAAAAGAAAGAAAGTTGTGTTTGTATGTCTGACTTGTGTCTGTAGATGAACTGTTAGTTGATAGTTGTTGGTCAGAACTGGGTACTGCTGACAAGTCCACAGATCTGCTGATTGGTGGCTGTTTGAACTGCTGCTGGATGTTGATCATCTGAATCTTCCTCCTGGCCTTCAGCTCCTCCTGGCACATGTCTCAGCACTGACCCTGTATAATTCAGGAATACATGACAAAATACACAGATAATTAGACAGAAATATAGTTTCAAACAAAGGTGCAACAAATATTGCAAACATTAATTATAGATTAATGTAGGCCTATGTATAAATCAATACTTTATGATTCCAAACTCTAGTTTACCTTTACAGACACACAGCTATGAGTGCTTGTTGACATCAGACACACCTTCAGCCACACTTTATCAAGTGATTTATTTATTTATAAAGTTTATTAATTAAATATATGAAGCTGAAGAATAATTCTTGATGATAAAATTAAATTATATGACCAACTTTTTGTAGCCTGACATAATTTGTACTGATGTTAAGATGATTAGTACAGTTTACAGAAAAAAATTTGTAAAGTTATTTGCAATATTTTAGTTATTGACATAAAAACTATCTATGTGTATATTTGTTTACATATATAATCAAATATGCTTTAAAGATTAATTTTATTTATTCATTTAAAATATCTTGGGCTCAGGTCTGCTTGATAAAATAATGTAAATGCATAAATATCCAGCTGCTCAGGATGCACACATGTATGTAAAAATATAAGTGAAGCACAAAATGCTTAAGGGGGCAATATTATGTGTTTCTCAGGCATATATACCATAATAAAAGTAACTATGTYTCCTTCAGTTGTTATTAAAATTTTTTTTATATATTTAAATGGCAAATAAACTTGACATCTCATCCTATCTGTTTCTAAATGCCTTGCAATTGGCCTCTGTCTCTAAGAAACTCCTTCGCTTCTGTCCCGCCCATTTCAGCACAGGGCCATGTTGGTGTGTGTGCTCTGTGATGAGGAAGCTCAGCTTGGAGACACAGGCCAGAGGTGGAGCTTAACCCAAAAAGTGGTTCTAGTCCCAACCGGTCGTTTTTGCTCCCCTGCCTAGCTGTCCACAGGATTTCTCAAACATGCATGGATGAGTCAAAGCAAGACTTTGGGCATGTTTTTGATGAGAGGATAACATTATAACATAATGGAAAATTCAAAAAAGTTGATTTTACATGATATTGCCCCTTTAATTATGTCACAGTTAAATCAGTTATTTATTCTAAATTTTCAMAAACCATAACATTCAAAATTTCCTCAGCTTTATTTTGAACCACAGTATAGTAAAGTTGAGCAAGAAATAAACTATCAGAGCTTTTGTAAAGGACGACACCTCATAAGTAGCCTAGCTATTGCAATCAATCTGAACACCACTAGGAGCAGCTAAACAATGGAGCTAGCCTGGCGCTAACACTGTTTGCTAACKATGACCTTACATGAGCATACATGGGTTAAATGTGACAAATTTCACAGTATTCAGTTGTTATTTAAATGTCCTCCATGATTTACAAACATGGTTGACTTTAACAGGCAAAGCTAGTTTTTGGCAAATGACAGTAATGACTTGGTGTATTTGTTGTAAATGACTAAGCAACACCAAAGGTTTGCCCAATATCTATAAAATTTACTAAAATATAGTCAGTTTTAGTGTTTTCTAAAATCAGTTTGTTGTGGTGACCATCTTGAATTGGGTTAGCTTCAAACATTAATCAGTTGTAGATCCAAGGAATTTTTTCCCAGAAGTTTTATTAAAATTTGCCCAGTAGTTGATAGGTTCCCACATAGAAAAATCTGTCTGGCCCAATTTTGACCCACACAATGCTTCAACATTCAGCTCAAATACCACAAAGAATGATGGCCCTTTGATGGCCCAGATGTGGTGTGCCAGAGGTGGTCCATGCATGTGCCAGCACCACATAAATCAAACCACTGGGCCAGTTGTGGTTGGGTTAAAAACAGTGCCATCATTGCCAGACCTGGACCACATGTGGTTGGCAAACTACTTACCATGCCAGCAGTACCATCTTGACACCATAGACCACAACTGTCTGCTATGTGCGATATTTTGCTAACAGATGGACACAGTAGATCCCAAATAGTTACCAGCAACTATTTGAACAAAGATCTTTCAAAATATGTTAGTCCTCAGAATATGTGCTGGGGATCAGTCTCAGCTACTACCACAACAAATTYTAGGTCAGAAACTGTAAAATTGACAGAGGGTTAGCCTATTTTGTGTTTTTAAGGTCACTCAGCTGTGGGTTGACTGCAAATGTTATTCAGTTATAGACATACATCCAATGAGTATTTTCAGCAAGTTTCAATAAAATTTGTCCAGTGGTTCATGGGGTATTTGGTATTAGACACGTAAAGACACACAAAAAAACAGACATATTATTGTTTACTTTTGCCTTTCAGTGGAAAATGATAATGAAGTCAGTAATGTATTCCTTAGGGCTGGCTGTGTGAGCTTCTTCGGTGGAAGGAGAACCCCAGCCCAGAGAATCGCACCCTGTGGGACAACCTGTGCACCATCCGGAGGTTTCTGACACTGCCACAGGCTGACAGGGACATGGCCTACGAGGAAGAGTCCCGACATCACCACACAGAGAGGCTGCACACTGTCCTCCACCTGCCGCAGGACGCCCAGGTACGTTAACTGTTGTGCTGCTTGATAGCATTACCTTGTGTGGATTTTACAACTAGCATCAGAGAGGGGTTTCTGGTGAACAGATTTCCTTCATGCCACATATTCATAATATTTACTTTTTCAAAACAGGCTAGAAACACTTCTCTGACATTCTGAAAATCTAGTTTTGAGAACTAGATCGAAATGAAAGTTAGAAAGGAACAGTGGAAAACAGGAATTGATTTTACAATTTATGAAGAACAGAAACTTTATTTACAAGTTGCTGCCACCTTATTTATATATGTGATGGTGGCCATCTTGGATTTTGACATGGCAACACAATATTCAATGGGGCCCTTTCGTATGACAAACTGCAGCCACACACCAAAATGGAAGTTGGCACCACACTTAGTTTTTGAGTTATCCAGCTCACAAGATGGATGGATGAAGGGTATTTCCAATTCCTCACTTCGCCCTATGAGGGGGTACAAAAATCTTTTTTCCAACACTTTGTTTGTTTTGTCTTCACAAACTAAAAGCATGAAGATATACATCAGACAGTTGCTTTAAGCTGAACGACTTTAAGAAAAATTAAGCATTGTTTCAGTGAGAACCAACAGATTTGTTCGTTTATGTCTTCTGAACATGTCCACCCTCATGAAGTTCATCTGTCATTCTTATATACTCATATTTATTTCCTCAAAAATACACATGGTGCTGTTTGATCTCTGTGTGCGTGCGCATGTGTTTATGTGTCTCTGTGTGCCCCCCTGGAACAAAGAGTAAACATTGTTTCTGGGTGGTGTGGCATTGGAGGAAATGCCCCATTAGTTTTTAAGAAGGGTTGGTAGGGTTTAGAAGAAAAGAGATTGATGCAGGAAACATAGTGCCATGCTTTTCATTATTGTTACCCTCCCACTGACACAAACTTCTCAATCCTAGTGCTGATTCAGTGTCTTTTGCTTTTACTTTCAAACTGATTTGTGCACTTAAACACTGAGAAACATGGAGAAAATAGTTCATATTAATGTAAATGAATGCATTTTTAAATATAATTAAGCAGTTAACCTGAGTGCTCGAAGCAGTGAAATGACTTAAGGTTTGGTATAAAATGGGGAAAGAGCTAAATAAGAATCAGGTTTATTGGCCAACTATGTTTACACACACAAGGAATTTGCAGTTTAGAACATCCATCCGGAGAGAAACACACAAACATGGGAGAATGAATTTCCACGGTCATTYGCAACAACGTGCGCTACCTTACAGTTTAGAATACACACACATAGGAAGGGTGAGTTAAAAAAAGAGCTTTGATCTTGTGTTTTATATAGAAAAAAACACACYATCATTGCACAAAAAACCCACTCTGCGAATAGAAGCGGTTAAGAAGGGTGAGGGAGTGGGTTGAAGTGTAGTTGAAGTCCTGCCTAGACAGTTTTCTGGTTTRGCTCTGTCAGTACATATTTTAGGACCTGATTGCTTTTCAAACAAATATGTAGCTTTAATGTGATTTTTCTGTTGGATATATATCATGGGCAGCCTTTGTGCACGGGCTTACCTGGGAAGCCCAGATGCCAACAGCGTTGGTGGTCCTATTGTTTTGAGGTCACATGATGAGCTGAAAAATACACACCGTTTTATTGCTCRCCAGGTTTCCTGACAGTCATTACAGATTGATCTTTGTAACCGCTGACTGATCCAAACTAATATCATCAAATGTGGGCTCACCTGGGCTGACCAGTCAAAATGTGTATTGGTAGTTTTGGGGCATGCATCTTGATGATTGACTGACAGCTGACAACATGTCAGGTCAGGATGAGTGGTGTTTATTAAAGTGAATAAACTGTATTTGTCAAAATGAGTTTGAAAAAATATTGAGTTACTGAATCTGGCAGAAAGTTTTGAACCAGCTGTTTGAAAAAAGAACCTGCAGAAGGACAATCACTGACTAAAAACGCAACCCTTCAGGTAGATGCTACTTTAGGAGAGGAGCAAGTGAAGTGCAGGAGAAGCAGAGAGGACCAGGGATGGGAGACAAGTCTGATGTTTAGAACACTGACCCAGGCTGCTGGGACAACAACATACCAAAAGGTTCATTGGTTCTGGGAGAAAACAGGACAGGTCTTGGCTCAGGTATTGATCAGCTGGCACGGGAGCGTACCGCGTTACATAGAGTTTTTCGTTTTGATTTGGTCTTTCTGCTGCTTTAAATTTAAGAGTTAAACTAGACACCGCATAGCGGTAACCTAATGACCCCTGCACGCAGAAATGCACCGGAACTCAGAAGTCTTTATTCCAAATAAATATCATGCTACTAGGTGCATCCCAAAATCATAGTGGCTTGGGAG